GACATTTTAGTTTTGTTGTTTAATATTTGACTCAAGGGCGCCCCCTACATTATTCAAACTGTTATCTCTCAGTGATATGTCATCCGATCTGGACCAGATTTTTGGTGTGTGATTAGTGAGCACTTAAACACACAATGGTATTGTTGTTTTACTTTTGACTCAAGTGTGCCCCCTAGGTAAATCAAACTGTTATAGCTCAGTGATATATTGTCCGATCTGCATCAGATTTTTGGTGCTTGACTAGTGAGGACTTATGGACACAGTGGTGTTGTTGTTTAATATTTGACTCAAGTGCGCCCCCTAGATAATTCAAACTGTTATATCTCAGTGACATATCGTCCGATTTGTACCAGATTTTTGGTGCTTGACTAGTGAGGACTTATGGACGCAGTGATGTTGTTGTTTAATATTTCACTCAAGTGCGCCCCCTACATTATTACAATAGATATATATGCGGTCGCAGCTTATGTGAAAGGTTTCGACGAATGCGCATTCCGGGGAACGGGCGCGTGACGGTAGCGTGAGCGTTCTCGATGGCGACCGGGAAGGGTCACTGCAGTTCCCGCGGTCGCCATGAGGCCGCAGCGGCGCTTCGCTGCGAGGGCCTTCAACGCTGCTTGCAGCTTTAATTTATAGTTAGTATTGTACTAAGAGAAAAAAAAATCTCTATTGTGAAAGTTCACTCCTCCTTGAATTGCCACATTATCTTAGTGGAGGAGTTTGTGTACCTGAATGATCCTAGGAGCTATGCTGTCAGGGGCATTTGTAAATGCCCCTGGTAGGATCTCGCAAGGCAGATTGGTTCTAGGTGACAAGCCAGACAGAGAGCGATTCAGAAGACTTGTATGGACCAAAGAAAACAAGAAACTCAGTGTCCCTTGCCCGGACCTAGGTTACCGGGGCTCCACCCTGGAGCCAGGCTGCGGGGAGGGACTCGTCAGCAAGTGCCTGTCAACCAGATCTCTACTCAAGGGGCCCGGTCGGGCTTGACCTGAAGGAGCAACATGGGCTTTGCTTTGCTGTGGGCCCACCAGCTGCAGGAGGGTCCAAACAAGTTGAGTGCATGATGCCATGGACAGTGGCCACAGCTGGCTCTTCGGACATGGAATGTAACCTCTCTGGTGGGGAAGGAGCCTAAGCCTGTGCGTGGGGTTGAAAGATACCGACTAAATGTAGTTGGGCTCACCTTGACACACAACAAGGGTTCTCCTTTGTGGTTCTGCTCGGTTCCAACAAGGATCGCTGTGTGGTATTTTGCTGGCTTTCTGTTAGACTGGCTCCTCAAGGATGTCAGTGCAGTTGGTGTGGGGGAAGTTGACCTGAATTGGACCAGAACCGAACCAAGCTGGGCTGTGGGGGAACTCATCCCAAACAAAGCCGGTCTCAGCTTCAGTGGGCAGCTCATTACCTTTCACCGAAGGATCGCCCACCTCCGTGGGGCTTGCTCTTGGCTGCAATGGTGCCTGACGGAACTGGACTAGAACAGAACCAAGCCAAGGGTGACTTCAGCCTCTCTGGTCAGTTCTCATCATTGTTCGCCTGGAGGAAGCTCTCATGCTGTGAAGCGCCGAGGAGAAGCTGCTGCTTGAAAGAAATCCGGAGTCTGCATCTGAGATTTGCTGTGCTTACATCTAAAACTCACCTGAATAATAATTTAGATCTGTGCGTGTCCACCGGTTCAGAACGGGTCTGCGGAAGGTTTTGTTCCTGGATCACGCTGTTGTCCTCTGTTTATTTGAACCAAGTCAGGGCCACGCTCTGCTATTTGTTGTGGATTATCAGTTTCTGCTTGTTAGTAATGGACCCAGCATCTGTTCATGATGAGAGCAGCTGCAGCAGCTGCAGCTGGAACAATTCAGCTTCACAGGGGTGCTCCCCTCAGCCCAATTCAAACTCTAGTTGGACTACAATGTCGGATCCGTTGGCCCACTTGATCTATGATGCTGTCTGGTCTGAGACTTTTCTGCACCAGTCTCAATATTCTCATCATTTTCAGATCTCTGACTAGCTGGTCACTGAACCTTGTTAACACATATAGATCTGCCTCTCCCTGCACACTTCACTGTTTTTGGGTTCTGGGTAATCATGTCTTTTTTTACTTTTATCATAGTTCGATTATTGGGGATAATTATCACACTATTAACTCCTGTAATTACATATCTGTCACAAAAAACACAAGAAAATATATGATAATAATGTTGTTACTACTCTCAGGGATCCAGCCTAACCCTGGACCCCCATTCATTACAGCACACCAAATGATTTTAAAAACATGTCAGAATTTCATTTTCTGCATGTAAACACATGTAGTCTTTTGAAAAAACAACACAGACATTTCTGGTCCGTTCCTCTGGGCTTCATCTCTGAATCCTGGGTTAATAAATCTGTCTTGAATAATGACCAATTGATGGATTTAATATCTATCACTGTGATCATCAAAGAAGGGGGGTGGGGTCACTATTTACATCAGAGAAACCCTGAATTCTAGTCTTGTGTCAGCCAAAACAATCCCAAACCAATTTGAGGCATTAGCTGTAAATATCACTTTGAATTGATGCCAGATCTTATCTGTAGTGGGTTGTCACCACCCTCCCTCAGCAAGACCTGAGGCTCTGTCCTCCCTGACAGACTTCCTAGCTAATTTACAATTCAAAGGGGTTTTACTTGCAGGAGATTTTAATTTCAACTGGGAAAAGTCAACTCTCCTCTGTGATAAATTCAAGGAATGTTGCCTGTCACTTAATCTGGCCCAACTCATTGACTCTCCCACCAGACAAAACAAAAACTGTCCTGAAAAATATTCCATCTTAGATCTATTTCTAACAAAAATGACACAAATTCCCTAGTATAGGAGTTTTAGCTGATGTGTAAGTGATCATTGTGTAATAGCCACTCTCAGAGACATTAAACTTCTACATCCTAAGCCCAGATTAATTCAGAAAAGGGATTTGAAACATTTTTGTGAACAGTCATTGCTCTGGGATTTATCTCATGTTGACTGGCATTGTATCCTATTAACTGATGATGTGAACTCTGCTTGGAACTACTTTCATATTAGTTTCATTAATTTGTAAACAAACATGCTCCTTTTCACTAGTTCAGAATAAAAAGACGAGGCAGCCCTGGTTTACTTCTAAACTAGCTGAGCTCCTACACAGGAGAGATCATCTTTGGACCGCAGCGAGAAACTCTGGCTCAGACACTGATTGGTTGAGTTTTCGACAGCTGAGGAATAAATGAACAACTTCTATCAAAGCCGCAAAACGTAACTATTTCTGTGGTGATATTGCCCCTAGTGGTGTGTCTCTGTCCTGTTTCCTCTCATGTGATTTCCCCTTTCCCACACCTGTGAGCCTGACAGGTGTTTTGTGTTTTGTCCTCATCAGTGTTTGTATATAAGTCTGTGTCTTAGTGTTAATCCTTGTCTGGGCATCATGTATTCTCCTGATAATCCTCCTGAGTCCCTAGTGTTTTCCTGAGTGCCTCCTTGTGATTTTCTACATGTAAGTTTTGCTGCCTCGACAGCCGTTTATTTTTTTGTTATTAAAAGTGTCTTCTTATTTTACTACCGAGTCCTGCCTGCATCCTTGTGTTCTACCTTTTAAAAAAACAGCAATCACGACAGTATGCCCAGACCACAACGAGAACCCAGCAGGCGGATGACTTGGGCCGAATACCGAGCCCAAGAAGCAGCTCGGATGACCCGGTGGGAGCAGACGTGGATGGAGGAGCCTGTCATCCGATAGGGTGGGTTTCGGACCGAACCCGTCCAGAGACAAGGTCACCGCAGCC